TTGAGAGAGATTTATTCCCTTGGGTGAATGATCTTCAGATTTCTAAGTACATGAATAAAGATATGGGAAGACAGATGTTGGGCTGTGTGAAGGGTGGAAAATTTGGAATCACTGGCTGAACAGTGGTCATTATTCAGCATTATTAATTCAGTATTTGTTGAGTTTTGGAAGATTTAATGAGCAACAGCTGTAACCATGTTCTTAAGTGCTTAAGTGAGAGGAGTCATGGTAGGGTAGGAAAAATTATACAATAAAAGTAATTAAACTAATTTGGATTGTGGCATTGGGACTACAAGAGGCAAGGTTTTGGAGGGCTCTTAGAAATAGATGTTTTGTTAATAGAATATTAAAAAGCCACTAGTTCCATTTGGGGCATTGAGTCATACCTTCAAAACTTCATAATTAACTTCCCCAAACAGTAGAAAATACTCATTTTCTACAGACAACTGTCTAGAAGAACTTCTTCATGTTGTAGGATCTCTCCTGATCTATGTAAATGCCTGTTGTGTTGTACTCTTTACTATCTATATATTGCAAGACAAAGCTGTGGAATAGTATTGGAATACAATTTCTGTGTTTGGGGGTATTTTTGTCAGGTTTCGGGACAAAGAATAGAGCTCTCAACGGCAGGTGCAAAAGTAGTGTCACCTCCTGTGAAAACGTTCACAGCTTCAGGCATCTATTTTTAAATTGTTAGCTTCTTTAAGTCTAAAATTTTACAGATTCAGAAGATTGAACTAACAGGGTTGAATCTTTTTCCAGTTTTCCTTTTCTCCTCCTCTTAATTGCTGCATATTTTTTAGTCTCTTTCTGCAGCTCTCTTTGCTACCATTTTCCAAAACCTGTCTACTGTTTTGACTTCTTCATTCTTCTGTTTCCACCACCCTGTGCAACACTCACACCACCTGCTTTTGCTCCTTAGAGCTGAATGAGAATTTGAGTGTCTGGGTGCGTGAGGAGTCAAAACGTGCTCACACTTTGAGCCCAGAAGTTTCTTAAACACTTAAACTCAAGTGCTTGCACAGAGACGGAAGTGTCTAAGTCAAAAGCATTTAGTATTTGACTTCAACTCCACTGCAATCCAGTCTTGAAATGGAGATGGATATATAGAGAGATATATGCACTGGGGTTAGGTTCTTCCTAGTAACAGACTAGTTTTGTCCACATCCTCACTCATTGCTTTCTAGGTTGCCCTGCTGAGGTCCAGCTCCTCTCTGTTGATTGTACTGAGAATTTCAGCTGTGAGTGCTCAAGCTCATCACCCAAAGCTGTGGTGTGTGATACCTGACACCAGCTTCTGAGCTTCTAGCAATTCTGCTTCTGCTAGTCCTTTTTCCACCCTTTCAACTCCTGGGTCTTCTGGTTTTGACAAAATCAGTGGTTAGTCTTTGTGTCTGGGATGTTTCCAAACAAAGGTTGAGTTAGTATTGTGTTACCTATGAAGAGCATTTTTATTCTAGAACCTGTCCATGCACAGATACTGCAGAAAAGTTTTCAATAGAAAAGTAGTAGTATTATTCTTTCCCTGAAAATGAGGGTTGCATAAAATGTTGATTAATCTTAATGAACAATCATATTTTTCACAGTTTTCTTTACAGTGGCTTTATTAAGGTGCATATGAGTGAATGTCTTCAGAGTAATGCTACTTTGGCTGGTTTTTTCCTTCTTACACTAAATGTATATATTTAATTGAAAATAATGAAAGGTCCTCTTAGGTTGAGCTTATAAGAGTGATTCTCCTTCAGTGGTGTAAATAGCTTGCAAGGAATGTGGTCAGTCCTGTCTCTTACACATAGCTCTATAAGGGCTGGGTAAGCAGGACTCAATGAGGAGGGACGCTGGAAGCAACACGTGGGAACTCCAGCTGAGTGACCTGCACTCACATCCTTCCAGCAGCTGACTTTGATTTCTTACCTGGAGTGATGCTGTTTTAATGGATGAACAAACTATTTCTGGTATTTCTCTTACAAACCATCCCTTCCTGCATTGGGTTATCTGTTTTCTACTAAGGGAAAGAAGATCTGGGATTCTGTGTACTGAGGAGAAAGATTTCATAGATATCTTTAATATCATTATCAGTGATCTGGCAGGGGAGTTGAGTACACTCTCAATAAGTTTGCAGATGACACCAAGTTGGGCGGGAGTGTTGATCTGCTGGAGGGTAGGATGGCTCTGCAGGGGGATGGATGGATGGGCCAAGGCCAACAGTATGAGGTTCAACAAGGCCAAGTGCCAGGTACTGCCCTTGGGTCACAACAACCCCAGGCAGTGCTACAGGCTGGGGGCAGAGTGGCTGGAAAGCTGCCTAGTGGAAAAGGACCTTGGGGTGCTGGTTGACAGCCAGCTGAACATGAGCCAGCAGTGGCCAAGAAGGCCAATGGCATCCTGACTTGTATCAGAAATAGTGTGGCCAGCAGGACTAGGACAGTGATCACCCCCTTGTCCTTAGCACTGGTGAGGCCACACCTCAAATTGCGTGATCAGTTTTGGGCCCCTCACTACAAGAAGGACATTGAGGTGCTGGAGCAGAGAAGGGCAATGAAGCTGGTGAAGGGTCTGGAGCACAAGTCTTGTGAGGAGTGGCTGAGCGACTTCAGGTTTTTTAGCCTGGAGAAAGTGAGGGTCAGGGGGTACCTTATTGCTCTCTACAAATACTTGAAAAGAGGCTGTAGTGAGATAAGGATCGGTCTTTTCTCCCAAGTAATAAGCAATAGGACAAGAGGAAATGGCCTCAAGTTACACCAGGGTTGCACCAGGGTAGGTTTAGATTGGATATTCGGAAAAAATTCTTTACTGTGGTAGTCCAGTGAAATGGTTGAGTTTCCATCTCTGAAGATATTTAAAAGATGAGTAGATGTGGCACTTAGAGCCACAGTTTAGTGGTGGACTTGGCAGTGCTGGGTTAAAGGTTGGACTTCATGATCTTAAAGGTCTTGCCCAATTTAAGCAATTTTATGATTCTGTGTGATTGGAGAGATATAGAATTTCACATGCTTTGAAGTAAGAATTTAAAGCTTAAGAAATATCTCCACACTGTGCTTTGGAGGTCTATGTGATCAAAGAAACCAACAGGAGCAGTATCTGGCCAAAAAGAGAGTTTAGAAGTACATTGAGGATGGACAGGACAAGCGATACACTTGGAAAACTTGATGCAATGTGACAAGAGCATTAGAATCAACCTGCCAAGTTGGATGGGGGTACTGCTATGTTTGTATGGTGCTCTGCACCGTTTGTGGCAAGAATACGTATGTAAGACAGTTTGGTGGTGAATCCAAGCACATTTTGTATCACCGTGTCATTGGCAAGTGTGCAGCCCACCATCTGCCATGTAGCTTGTGTCTAGTCTGCCTGTCCAGCTCACAGCAGCTGCTGGATTTGAGATGCCCAATGCTGCATCCACCCCACTGGCAACAAACACGATTTGGTGCTTTGTGCTTGGCTAAGGAGTATAAAATTATCTAGGCTAAGTCGCTGCTGGTGCAGCTACAGGCTGCGGTCACCTCAGCGCCCTGATTGCTGGGGTCTTCCTGCAGCAACTGTTTCCCACCCCTGTCTGACATCAAAACTGCAGCACAGCCCAGATGGTGCACAGAAGGTACCGACCCAAGGAGCTCAAATGATGCTGACAACCTTGCTGACATGTGCTGATGTCTCTACAGCATTCAATTTCCTGACAGAGGCCTTTTCAGCTGGATTTTTCAGGGCTGTTTGAACTTCGTGATGATATTCATACTTGGAAATTTTCTTTTGGTAAAGCATTTATTGACTTTTGAAGGACGGAGGTTCTGCCTACGACAAAGCAAGTGTTGCATCACTGGTTCATGTAATTGAAATAGTTTCTTGCAAGCTGCTCATGATTCATAAGAGATAATAAATAACTGAGGAATGATTGTGCCTGACAAAGCAAACAGTTGTTGCAGAGATGCTCTTTTGTTGTCCTGGTTATGATTAGCTGATTTCAGAACGGGAACTAAAATTTTTGACACATGAAAGGAAGATACATACGGACCTCACACAGTTTCCTTTCCTCAGTTTTGATTCACACTCAACTGTAGGATCAAGGTAACTGCCCAGGGCATTTAACCTGTTTGAGGGTGGGTGATAGAAATCACGAAGTATAGTCTACAAGCATGGCAACAATGGGATTTTATAATAGTTTGCTTTATGAAAGCACAAAATCCTGTTTGGCTGTATTAATCTTCTCTGACAGAGTACAATGTAGAATGTAGGGCATACATAATTCTTACTTTTAAATATAAAGCAGAGAGTGGGATTTTCCAAAAATCCACACTTAGCCCAAGTCTGAGCTCACTGAAGTAAATGGGTGTTTATGAACAGTATTGTGGAAGTCCCATGGCTGAGTACATTTAAAAATTGTACACCATTCCTAGTAACATCTTATGCAAAATTAATTTTACTGAAAATGAGTGCAATAAATAAGAGGACGTTTTGCAGGTTGAATTTTTATGTTTCATTGGAAAATGGTAGTTCATTTTTACCAGCTTGCTAAGAAATGTCCTGCAGTGCTGTTTACACAAATAATGAGAAACCTTCATAAACTTCATAAAATAATTGGAAGTCTGTGGCAGCCCATGGTAAATTGAAGAAATAACAGGTAATCTGGTTCTTAGGAAAGAAAGTGTAGCCTGACAAGATGAGGGTAACGAACTCATATGGTAATCATGAGAATAATTACACAGCCCTTTGTCCTGATGTTAATCCCCGCATCACCCCTGCAAGGTAGGATCTATATTATTGCCTTAATCCTGTTGATTTTCTTAGTTATGTGAACGCCACAGGAATGAGAAATCTCGAGGCCCTTTTCCTTATATTCAGCAGATCTCGTACCTCGTAATTGTGTAATTTGGCCTAAAGCAACCCCTTGGCAGTGGGTGTTCATGGGAAGCATGCAGAGGGGATTGTGGGGATTAATAGCAACAAGGGGAAAGTCACAACCTGTTTTCCCCCCCCCTTTCCCCTCTTTCTTTTGTTTCTCACAGGAGAAAAACCCTACAAATGTACCTGGGAAGGCTGCACCTGGAAGTTTGCTCGATCCGATGAACTGACGAGGCATTACCGCAAGCACACGGGAGTGAAGCCATTCAAGTGTGCAGACTGTGACCGCAGCTTTTCCCGCTCAGATCACTTGGCGCTCCACCGCCGCAGGCACATGCTGGTTTGAGAAACGCTACCTGTTCCAGCCGAGTTTAAGAGCTGGGTCTCTTAACTACCCAGAGTGAATTCAGCAGGGCTGAATCCCCCTCTACAGTGTTAACAGGCAGGGCTTTCCCTGGTGTCTGTAACAAAAAAGAATAACAGAAATTAAAAAAAAAAAGCAGGAAAAGAAGTGCCACTCTTCTCCTCGCCATCTGAAGTTAACTCCGTCTGCCCCTCAGCATGGCTAACCCTGAAAATGTCATCACAATCACCTGGGAAATAGCAGCCGAAATGCTACAGGAATGGGCATTATTTTACATGCTGCATCCTTTGACAAAAAATGTTTATAGCTTGTATATTTTCTCAGCTGCCAGACATTTTATTCCTGAAAAATCACTGCTGATTGGAGGATTAGATACAACAAATCGATGATGATGATGATGACAACGACGACGACGATGATGATGATGAAAGCAAGACCGCTAGATCCGTATTATCCCATCTTTTCCCTTGTTTTGAATACCTTTTGGCCGGTGTCAGCATTACACCTGAGCTGTGCTACAGACAAGCTGCGTGGGAGTAGGCAAGAAGATTCTGCTGGAGAGATCCTGCTGCTGAAGCTGAAGGGTCACTTAATCAGACTTTTGCAATAACGGTGGTGGCATTTTAATATTGTACCACAATTTGTCATTATGCCCTAGTGGACACCAGCCATTTAAACTTTTATGTTTTTTTTCCCTTTCTTTTCTTTTGTTTTTGTTGTTGAAGTCTGTAAAATAAGCAAAGGGCAGCAGCATCTCTGCTGAAAGTACAATATTAAGTATCTCTATTTTACCATGGACTTATATAGAACCGTTTTCTGATTTATATACAAAGAGCCCATCTAAAAACTACTACTCTATTGTCAATGTGCAGTTTTCTTTCATGCAGGCATCCTCTTCCCCACAACCATTATTTGAACACGAGAAAATAGCCAGATCTTGTACTTGCTGGTACCAAGGTTAGTGGTGTAGCCATTCGTGAAATGGAATTGAATGTATCATCAGAACAAAGCAGAGAAGAAACGGCTGCATCTCTTGCAGAGAAAAAGCAATAATGAGGTAAAATGGCTCTTGAGACAATAATTTACTCCACACCAACATAAGTGGGGGGTATGCAGAAATAGCATGTAAGATTTAAGCATTAATCTTTCTGATGGTTTCACTGACCTGCTAGGTACCACAGTTAAGTACTTTTATTTCCTTTAACATAATACTTGTGTCTGGAAAGCATGAAAGATACAGGAAAGAGCTGATAGTTGAGGAGTTAGTGGATGAATTGTAAGTAGGAAGGAGAAATGTTTCTGCAGTGGTGCTCTGCAAGACATTAGGTTTCTCCGTGGGAGTTAGGGAATAACAAGATTTTGCCAGCTGTCTAGTATGATATAAATGGCCCTTTATATGGGTACCAGTGGCTGCCTCTGGTGGGATTTTCAATCCAAGCCTTTTCAGATTAAATAAAAGGAAATTCTTGATCCTTCCCATACAGCCCTATAATTGCGAACCAATTTATATTAATTGAATTATATAGGAAAGAGAAAAACTCTTAGTCATCAGTTATTCATGCAAACAGAATAGTGTTTTTCTGTTTTCTTTCCTCACAAAGATCTGCCTATTCAGCTAAATTTGACAAAGAGGAGGCTTGGCAAGACTTTTTAAGTGTTGAGGTTTTCATAGCTTAGAGATGAAAGATGAATACGTAAAGGTCTTTTGCAATGCATTTAATTATGAGTATTTGGTTCCAGGAATTGCACAGATTAAAGTTGTGATGCCACTTGTTTGTTTTTAAATGTTTGACTGTCCCAGTTAATATCTGATTCCTGAAATAAACATAGTAATGTTGGGGGGATTCTGAAATCAAGGTAATCTTTAGGAAAAAGCAGCACAGAGTACCCTTACAGATACAAAAGCAATTACAGTTAATTGAGGATTATTGTGACCGCGATAATACTTTATAACAGCATTCACAGGCCCCAGAGTTTGATTGTCTTTAAATATCCTTAGTATTCCCCAATACTGGATAGTTTATCAGCTCTCTGAAAGAAGAACTTAGTACTGTAGAAGCTCAGGCTCCCCACTGAGTGGTCAGCAGAGAAACCCAATACAAACTACTCACAGCCATTGAGGGAAAAATGCCTTGATCAATTCCCATTGACCATGTTGGTAATCAGCTTCCACCAAATTCGACAACATTGTAGAATCCATCTCCAAATCAGAGACAGATCAGGGCTTCAGGATGGACCACGAGGCATTGCAGGGCAGCAGAACTGTGTCTTTACCAGCAGTGTTACTGTTGGTTTAAAAAAGTGGTTGTCAGTGTTGTGCGTGAGGTGCTTCATGGATTACGTCTGAGGTCTGTCTTTTGTGTACTTCAGTATTGTCCTATTCAATGCATCTGTCATTGGTGTTTAGGGAAAGCAGTCAGGTCAGGTAGAAGTCAATTGATAAAATTGTTTTCCTACCCAGGAACATTTTACCAACTAATTATTTGAATAGCAGTAATTCCGCTGAAGAACCGATGGCATACAGAATGCCTTTTGGAACCCATGATTTTTTTTCTCCCATAGATAATTAAATTTATTTGAGCAGCAACTCTAGAGGGCATTTTGCTAGTGTACAAGAGGATGTGATATTACTGAGAGAGATCAGTGTTTCTGATCAGAGATGTGTAACTGGGAGAGATCAGTGTTCCTCTTTAGGCTTCCACTATAGTCAATGAAGAGAGAAAAACTCCTACTAGAGAAATTGAGGCGCCTTAAATTTCAGCATTGAGCTTTGAACTGCCCGGTGGAGGAGCATATGTATCACAGACACTGGAGGGGCTCATCTCCCAAGGCCGAGGTTGGTCTGTGTGAATCCTTGGTTTTTCAGCTTGTTGCCCATTACTTTATGCGTTGGAAACACTGCAACAGAAAGAGGGCCTGATTTTATTCAAGGAACCCTAAAGTGACAGAGGGTTAAAGCAGTACTTATGCCAAGGGACACAGGCACAGAGTATGTAAATAGTAACAGAATGAAGCCAAAAGGTAAAGGAGCGTGTGCTATATTTTATTATTTCACAGGCAAGAAGTAAATCTTCAACCTTTCCAGCACATGTGCAAGGGCTTCTCGTGGTGCTGTTACCTCCAGACAACTTACACAACCAGCAGTAGTCCACCACTGGGTTTCAAGTACCCAGTGTGGTTCTTGACAAGTTTCTTATTCCTACCAGCACCCACAGACTTTGATCCCAAATACTCTGAGAGGTTGTTTTCTGTTTTTCCCCTTCAGAAATATTTTAAGAGAAGTTACTCTGTGGAATGGAGGTGTTTGAATGTGGAGCCGATGTCCCCCAGATCCTCAGGGTGTCCTTGCCTTCAGTGCCTGTGGTTCAGACCTGCCAAACTAATGTGCTTGTGCAAAGACCTAGGGCGATTGCTCCAGGGTAGTTTCCTCAAAAGTCCTGGTATCCCACTGCAGGTCCATGACATTTCATAACCATGGCGAAGGCTTACATCGTATGTAGCATGCAGAAATATGAGATCTCATCTTCACACAATGTAGTAGGTTCATCTTAATTGAGCAGTTGTGAGACACAAGTATATACCAGTGTCCCATTCTTCCAGATAAACAGAGATTTAGGCTTTTGAGTAAAGGATAGGTAATAGCCACTGTGCTGTGACATTGCCCGTTACAGCTTGCAAGGGAAATTGTACCGCAAAGTGTCAGATTTCATATGTTTTCAAAAGATTTAAACGGATTTGACAGGAAATCTCAGTAGCCAGCATTATAGGAAAATGCAATGAGCAGACAGCTTTGTTACAGGACTTTTAAAATTTTTAATTGTCATTATTTTTTGAGCACCTGTTATATTCAGCACTGTAAAATTGGCTCATTGCAACAGCAGTTTTTAACTTGGGGATGAAGATGCAGTATTCCTTGTTCTCTCTCATGCTTACATAACTAATTGAATAGATTTAGACTGACTTGTATGTATGATTATTTGCCGGAGTAACGTATAACAAAATTAACAGTGTTGAAAATTACATCAGTGATGTTGATGATTGGGGTAAACTCAGCGCAGAGCATGGACAAATAGCTGGACAGCCTTTCTCCCCTTTAATAATGGGAATAACAGTAATCATAAATCTCGTTTTCCATTAACCACATTGAAAATGTATTCTAGTTGCCATTTATAAATTTATCTTCTGATAATAAATGTTGTTTAATGTAAAAAAATCTCCTTCTCCTTTATTGAAGATGAGTACCTCAAAATCAGAGTAAGTTTGATTCAATATCCCACTTATTTTTTAGTTTGAATTTTGGTTTGGAAAGGTCAGTGTGTGAAACTGTATCTTCCACAGCAGTCAAGTCTTAAGATCATTCAGTAAATCCACGCTATTCCCACATGCTCATCGTTACACTCATGCATATAAACCCCAACACTTCCATGTGTCTCTACCCATGTGCGGGTAATAAACAAGTTTATTTAAAATTAAAATGAAAAAAAATCAGAAAAGGAAGAATTTTAAATAAACACTGTTACAGAAAATACTACCTTAAGAAACCGGCTCATGTTATTGTGTTGTGCCTTTGTCTGTGATACATAACTGGAGAAGTGCACAGAGAAATTTAAAGATTGTTCTCTTTTCACAGTTTTGCTGTAGCATAACAGTTGCTGTGTAATGTATGCTAATGACGTCATGCCCATTGGTACCTTGAAAAGGCTTAAATTCTCCACAATAAATTAGGTTTTAGCATAAATATGTAACTCTAAGGATACTGCATCTTTAGAAATCAAAATAACTTGAAATTATTTTACTATACTTGTAACAGTTTAAATATTCTGCAATATATGTGATAGTGAAAAGTATTTTCCAACTCACAATTTTACATGGGGTATTAAGTAGATTAAATGAAGTATATTTTTAAAAGATCCTTTAGTTTTCATTGGGAAAACTGGTAAGATAATGCTTTGCAAAGCTTACTGACAAAACACAAGAAGTAAATTGTTCTGTTTTATCAGAGCATGTTTTCTCTGCAAAATGGAGTGGCCACTTCTTTGCTGTTTTGCAGGTGGCGTGAGATATAGCAAAGTCACACTGAGTCATTCAGTGTCAAATAAGTCAACACTCCATGTCTTTGACTGAATAAAGGTAAAAACCACTTAATCAAAATGAAAACCATAGGGAAGGTTTGGGGGTTTTGTGATTTTTTTTTCCTTATGGTATTTTACAGTGAACTCCAGGTACAGTAATGGCAAGTGCTCATAGGATTTTATTTTTTCTTGTATTTCCCTGACTACAATGCATCTTCATTAAAGGTTGCAGAGCTGAAATAGGCAGCTGCTTTTTGCTGATTCGGGGGGAGTTTAGTCTTCTAGGTGCAGTAACATGTCAAGAAAATTAATTGTAGCAAGACGGTTCTGACATTTAAAGTACACATACACTTCAGTGAGATAGCCTAAAATCTATTTTAAAAGGTGAAACAGAAACTGAAAGTGCCTGTAATTAGAACTGATGGGATGTTCCTATACTTTTACACAGCAATAACTTAATGGGATTCTGTTAATAGTAAGGTGAAAATTAAATTTTACTTGGAGAACAATAATGCAGCACAGAAACAAACACAAAGTGCCATTTGTATGTTCACATGTTGAGATACTGTGTTAAAGGTTTTAGTTATTTTCTCAGATAACATCTGTCATATATTTGTAAGAAGAAAATAAATCTTAGTTTACAAATGACTCGTAGCTGTATCGATTCTCAGTAGGTGTGATTGGAGGTCGTTGTCAAGCAGTGTTTTAGGGGATTTCTTCCTATTTTATGTTGGATGTACCCACGTATCCAGGGTATTCTCTAGTGAAGTAATCCAAAAACCAGCAATAAGCCCAATGGAGGTTTTTTTAGGGAATATGATAGAACAGGGATTCTCTTGAAAAATCATTTGCATTGGACTCTGGAAACACAGAGTTCACCTTATGTTACCTTTCTATTCGTCATGTAGTGCTCATAGTATTTAATATCATCTTAGAAATGGTTGACTTCAGGAGTGGACAAAATATATAATTTTTCTTTCTTTTGGGGACAAGTGAGTGAAAAACAGGACTGTCAGTCTAGAGACTATTTGAATAGCAAACAAGAAGTTGATATTCCTAAAATGAAGTGTGGAGATTTTTATATTGGGTGGCCTAAACATTTGCATCACTAGACTAATTGATCTTACCAGTAAATGGCCATTTGTGATTCTTGCACTCTATTTTTTCTCAAAAAAATTTTTTTGTAGATATTAACTACTGCTAATGGATTCTTAAAATGGCAGTGTAATGCCAGCCCTCATGCTTCTTTTATTTCTAAAAATTAATTTATTGAAGATGAAAATGTAACTGATTGTCCTAATGCCTTCGAGAAGGAAGATTGCTTTTTGTCGTCTGAATTTGTACCTGTCATTTATCCAGGCAGAATTTTGTATTTGAAAAATGCAACATTTTATCTGGACTTTCACTGCCATCAGTGGGTTGCTGCTGGAGTCTCACTGAGGCAGAATTGTGTGTGACAAAGATGCTTATATACAGATAAAAGTGCAGGTGCAAAAAAAAAAAATGAAGCACATGAACCCACATGTAAAATAATGACATGTTCATAAGCATTAGTTAATCGCATGTCAAGACTGCTAGTTAAGTAAAAAATTTTACTGTTAACCACTGGCAGAAATAATCCCTTCAGAACATGCATATACTTCCTCTGTTGTCCTGAGTTTAATCTCCAGATATTAAGCACACAAAAGATTACAATTCATGCTGGGGATTTTAGGAGGGCACTGGGGAATGAAGAACAAGAAGGACAAAGAAAACATTAGTTTTGTACCTCGTCCCTGAGCTGTAGCTGTTGTTGGAGAGGAGAGTTTTGTTCTTTGTTCTGGAGCAGCAACACTGCAAAGGGACACCTGTAGAAACCTGCCGTGTTGGACGGTTTGGCGATTCCAGCCTTACATGTGTTAGTTCTTGTGTAGGAAAGGGCACCTTGTCTTCACCAGCCTGAAATGATCCAGGGGTTTTTTCCCTTCATGTTGAGGTTTTTCCCTTTTGGTTTTTTTTTTTTTCTTCCTTAGCTATTATGAAAATAAGAATAGAAAAAAGTTATTTGAGATCCTGTTGTCCATATGTATGACCCGCAACATCTTCCCCAATTCAGTGTCAAAAGTTTCAGTGAGCCAAGATACTGTCAGTTTTAAGAGAAGAAGTGGTTCACACATTGACTTGCTAAACCTTACTCTTTGCTGTGACCTCTGCATTTAAAAAACAATGATTCAGTGTCTGGTAGGGGACCACAGGTGATGGCTTTAAAGGATTGTCATAAGCATGAACCATGAAATACACAAATAGGTTCAGATACCGATTTTCTCCCTCGCCCTGCCTTTCTATATGTGAAAGAGCTTTGTTGGAAAGTCAGCTTGAGCCAAATCTTCATGGCTGAACTAATATTTTTCACAATTCAGACTTCATGTTGTCATTTCTGGTTTCAAACTATTTTTCACTGCTAAATTTGCATCTTAAAGGCACAGTTTATTTCTTTCCTTATTGTCCTATACATGGCTTCTTTGGTAATTTAAGTTTTTTGTTGAACACCTACACAATATGCTGTCTTGACCTACTGTCTGTCCTTGAAAAGTTGTATTTCCCATTTGCACATTTCTAGAATACACACTGAGATAGTAATGAATTACTGAAGTTTCATGCACCATCAGCCTTAAGACCTTCAACCCACACACGGACACATGTATTCATACACTTCAAGGGAAAGAGAGATTTGGACACTGCTGTCAACATGTGGGGTCAAAAATACCATTAAATCAGAAAGTTCTTTCAGCTGTGTTTAGGAAGAAACAACAATAATGAAAAACACCATTATTGGCCAAGTTACTTATGGAAGAAGCAATTTCCCCTAGGGCATTAGTTGAATGAAGTGCTAAGGATGGGGTTGCATTTGGCCCCAAATTGTTCCCTCTGATCAGGTCATTATCGTTGTATGTACCAATGAGTGTTCATTTGATCCTCCTGTGTAAAAATACAAAAACATCCTGTCATTTACCAAGTAATTCATTTGGGACCGAAGCTTCACAGCAATGGAATTAGTATGTACGGCACCTCAGTCTTTTTCCTAGATAAGATGCAAAAGGGAGGGCCATTATCGGTAACCCTATAGAGATAATAGTGTCAATAGAGGTCCTACACTTAAAAGGAATAAAAATACCAGTGCTAGCAAGCAAACATATTCGTTTTTTAAGTCTTTCTTTTGCCTTCTTTTCAAAAGCTTTTAAATACAAAAATTACTTTTCTTCCAAAATTAAACTTCTGAAGATCTAATTTCCCAGTAGTTTCCTCTGCATTTATATACTATGTAGTGTTTAGGCAATGCCTATGTTATAAGTTTATTAATATTATGTAAGTGTTGTTCTTGTATTTATGTATAGTGTATGTATTGTAAATATACTCAGAGCTTTTTTTCCTCTTACTGTAAAAAGGTGATTTTTGCCCTATGATAATGTAAAGGGAGTCCCCTAATGAAGTTCTGTCAGAGGATGATTATTCCGCTCTATTCTCAAAGGTTTAAATGAACAAGTGTTATCGTTTTAAATGGTGTCTCAGACATATTTTGTTGGTGCATTGCTTTTCTGTATTCAACTTTCCTATTAATTGAGCTGTGAATTGAAATAGAATTTAAACCTTTAAATGTATGCATTTGTACAATTATCTGAATGGAGGCATGAAGGTTAAATAAAGCATTTTGTATGGAACAAAACCCCTAATTATTACTGTGGATGACTCAAAGCTTCTGGAATACCCAGTTATTAACTTTTTTAAATTAAACCTTTGTTTTCTATAAACATATAGTGATTTTTAATGGAATTTTTGCTTAAGAAATGGGTTTTACTTTTCTGATTTTTTAAAAGCCATCATAGAGAGTAGACATTCTTTCTCCTTTCATAGCATTTGTGCATCTGTGGAGAAGCTGGAACAAATAAAATAGCACTCAGCAGTATAAACAAGAATGTCCTGGTATGGTATAAAAATATTTTACATTACTGTATAATCTGAGTTCCCTAAGTACTTTAAAATGGAGTTCTGTGTCTGTCTCGCTTTGCTTCTTCCCCTGTCCTTTCCTGGTGTGTAGAGAGGTGGGTACAGTTAATGTGCAGCTTCCTTGAGGTACCTGTGCAGGCAAGAGGGAGTTTGTTCACTGTGTGCCCCTGAAGTGAAGGAACAGCTAGTAGAGAAGGGCAATGGCACACTGGAAACAGCAACTTCATGCCTACTTGAAGAGACTTGGTATTTGGGATTGCTCCTAGGGACATTTTGAGGCCTGTGAGGTTCTCCCTTGTGTCTCACCATTCCACAAAGAAGCTTCCTTCATGTTTGAGCCAGCCTAGGACATCTGTGGATATCAAGTCAGTGACTTGGAGCTGCACTTTGCCCTTAGAGGTGAAATTTCTCCTTAAAATTAATTTTCCCCTTCCCTTGAATTTCCACTTGCTTGCTTTAAACCGATATGATAATTCATCTAATAAAAACCATAGTGTTACATGGTTACAGGCAGGGGAACAAGTAAACAAAGTGATTTGGACACCTCTGAGCCTTATGAAGAGATGTGTCTGAACCAAAGCTGCGCTAGAACAGATCTTCAATTTCTAAAACCGCTGATGAATTTAAAAATCAGATAGTTGTACTGGCCCTTCCAAAGCACTTCTGCTTTCCACACAATAAGTTGTTTGTTGTTCATCAGTGTCCTGTGTGTGCTTAATTTCATTTTTCTCCCAACAGTGCTGTAAGTATAAAATGCATCACTGCCTGTTTAGTCTGACCTCTCCAGTGAACGCCCACACCATCCACTGCCCTGACCCACACTCTGTTCCTGAAAAGTTATTTCTTCCACTTGCACAAACAACTGCTCAGTTGTCATCTAATCCCTACTCCCCTTTTCTTTCCTTTGTTGTTGAACAGTCCACTTGGAGTGAAAAGTTGGCACGTTGTTTTAAGTACATCGTACGGTGCGTGTCTGGCTTTCTGTGAGCATGACAAGGAGTGGCCGCTGGTAACGACCTTCAACTTTGCACATTGAGTTGCTGGATCAGATAAGGACAGTTCCCTCTCTATGGGCAGAAAAGAACTGCATTGGCGTCATCCTTGAACCTGGGGTACCTGCGCCTTCCGGGTGGAGCTCTGGCAGTTCACTTTCACCCATGGATTTACAGTGCTAGTCATCCTGTCCAGCCTGTAATAGGGAAATGTGCCCATATGGGAGGTTTGGGTGAAAGGCCTGCTTGCTGTGCTGTGGCCTGCTGCACTGTGGCCCAGTGGCACAAGATTTTGGTTGGGAATTGAAAAGGGCACCAGATTTTGGTGATCACCAAGTATTTGTCCTTTCCGAAGAGAAGCCATCTCTGTGGGGCAAACTGCCACAGACATAATCAGTCTTTAGCAATGCCTGTGGTGCACAGTGTGGAAACCTGTCCCTGAACAAGCCTCCCATCCTTGCAGATTGGGCAAAGTTATACCCTTTAAATAGACAAAGAATGAAAGGCAATTGACTGAAGCTGCAGTGACTCAGTAGTTAAGCAAAAAATGTCATCACAGAATGGGAAGTGTTGGCAGGGACCTCTGGAGGTCATCTGATCCACCGCCCCTGCTCAAACAGGGACACCTGGAGCCCATTGCCAGGATTGTGTCCAGATGGCTTTTGAGAATCTGCAAGGATGAAGACTCCACAGCCTCTCTGGGCAACTTGTGGCAGGGGTCGGTCACCGTCGCAGTGAGAAAGTGTTTCCTGATCTTCGTAGTAGCATCTAGCCATTTTGAGTACCTCCTCTCTCACTTTAGCCATTAGGCAGAATGGGCTCCCTGATTAGGGTTTTGACCCAGCCCATAACTGGCTACAGTTTTTATACCCATGGGTGTTTTCTGTGAGAAGACCCAAATAGCAGCAGTAGCCGTAGTCTTCCTAGCATACTCCCAAAGGCATTTACTGCCTCACATATTTGTCTTACCAAAAATATATAGCCCATAATAACTAGGACTGCCCCTTACAAAGGAATGAATAACCAGATTTAGCCAGTAAGCTGAAACATGTCAATATATTTTATCCTTTATGTTTTTGTTTGTATCTTTGCACAACCTTGCTCACAAGTGTACTGTGCCCTTTCCTGGTTATCGTTCTCATTTGCTGGGGATATTGATCTATAAAACCTCCTTGTAAAGTATTTCAAACAAATCCTTTGTTTTTTCTGGGGTGACTTCTCTACACCTGTATTTTTGGGCCTATGCAGAGTATTAACAGACAGAAACTAACAATAAAGTCCAGAAACTACTGCAAAAGCAAACAGTGAAACCGAGATGCTTACAAAGCGCTATAAATCTCTGCTGAGCTCGAGTTGCTGTTTAATCTTTATATACAGGTACGTCTCAAGGTTATCTGCTCTTGAGGGTTTCTCTGGAAGCTTTTGTGATTTGTCATCCGCTCAGCTTCTTATCAGTCAAAGGTATTTCCCCTTGTAACATTTATTATGGGCTGCACTCTGTGTTTTTACTAATGCAATGCCCTGAAGAGGCTCTGGTATGCAGTTTGTAAGGAG